TTTTCAACATCAAAATTCGACAGAGCAGATATCAGTTCCCATAATGCAAATTACCACCCTAAATAAATAGAAAACACATTTTGCAAGGGCAAGGGCATCTGCTGCATAAAACAAATTGTGTCTGACATTGCATCCTTGAGCGATTCAATCTCAGCTCATCATAAAGAATGCATACTATTGGGATAAGTTGGCAGTTCATTCCGTTGTGGCGACCCCTGATTAATAAAGTGACTAAGCTGAAAGAAAAATGACGAATGAATGAGAAAGTAGTTATAGAAACGTTTGCCGTAGCTCATGTTAACTAATGTAGCTAGGTTTTTTTTTTTTTTTTGTTATTTGTATATACAGTTTAAAGTCAGTGAAACATTTTTAAATGTTTATAAAACACATTTGCTCATTGTCTGTTTTCATTTATTCATTCATTCATTCATTTTCTTTTTGGCTTAGTCCCTTTATAATCAGGGGTCGCCACTGCAGAATGAACCGCCAACTCATCCAGCGTATGTTTTACGCAGCGGATGCCCTTCCAGTCACAACCTAACGCTGGGAAACACCCATACACTCATTCACACACACATACACTTCGGCCTGTTTAGCTTATTCAATTCACCTGTACTGCATGTCTTTGGACTGTGGGGGAAACCGGAGCACCCAGAGGAAACATGCAAACCCCACACAGAAAAGCCAGCTAACCCACCCGGGGCTCGAACCAGCAATGTTCCTGCTGTGAGGCGATCGTGCTACCCAACGTGACGCCCAAGTTTTATAGGCTATTTATGTATTAAATATCAAATCAATGATAAAAATCTCATTTTTGCTTTCATAAAATTAAAAACTCAACCGTGAGCTAAGTGTGCTCTCCTGAGAATGCAGATCACGTTTCACATTTGTCGAATGGTTAACTCGCATCCTCAAGACACACTTGAAGGTCTTTGATTACACCGTTAGATGGAGCTGTTTCTCCGCCGCACAGCTCGGTTTCTCCACTCCACAACAGCATTAATTTGAATGCATCTAGCATGAATCAAACATCAGTGTGTAGTGGAATACAGTGAATAATATATATTTTAATGTAGACTATCAGGAGGGCTGATCTATATTTTTCTAGTTTCACAATTAATCTTGCGGCCTTTTGCAAATTTCCTGCAAGCATTCAGCAAATAAAAAGAGCTTTACTAGGAATTAAGACTCTAAACCATTATGCATTGTGCTGCAAATGGCTCTGCCCTGAAGCTCTGCTAAATTCTGAGTGGCAGAGAAAAACCACAAGGTTTTAAATGTTGCATGCACATATAGTGTGTTTCCTGCCTTGTATGCCACTAACACTTCACGGTTTAATTCCAGGCAACCTCCTTTGGATTTATCGAAATGCGTGTATGTCAGAAGAGATAAAAACGTTGGGCTGAATCCTATTTCCTTCCGTGCTAATAGCACCATTACAAGGCCGTGTGTGTTTTTGTTGTACTGGATAATTATCTGGAAAAAGCCTCTTCATTAGGCACGGTTGAGAATAATTAAACAGACATTTTGGATAGGTTTTTCTGCGTGTGGTAAAACGATTTCAATTATGCATGCAAAGAGCCACATGCTTCCAAAAAAAGTTGATGAAGCATGCAGAAAATGAAAAATAACTATAATGTTATTGCTTTGTTTTTAAGCTATACTCAGAATATATAAATATAAATACGCTTCAACATCAAATAATGTGTGCAAAGATCCAAAGTGTTGTCCTTATATACATATATGCATTGTGTTGAGCTTGCATTTGAGTTTGTGGAAGAGATACATATCAGGGTTATGTCCCACTGAAATCACGTTAACAAGCAAGCAGCGCAGCATGTTTTATACAGTGCATCACCACTGCATGATCCAAACTGACACTTTGGGAGCTGAGAGCCAGTTTGAGAGTAACTCTGCTGGTATCATTTATTGAGAGCCTGAAGCATCTCACTAGCGTTTTCGGCTGCCATCTCCTCTCACCCACATTCCCTAGTCCTGCATAGATCCACACTTCAGTGCTCAGTGTATTGCTGTCTAATGATTGCAATTTTTTTAATGAGTCCACAGATCACATAACTTCATTGTGCAGTGAATCCCGTCTAAGGTAACGGATAACAAAAACAAAAAAGCAGTAAGCTTGTACTGGAATGAAGGCTGATGATTTTTGATTTGTGCATATCCTGCCCTGCTGTTGTTTGCGCCTGCACTCAAGTGATGTCACGTTTTAATCCCCTCTGCATGTGTTGGTGGGTGTGTGACTAATATGCAAAGCACGGTATGTAGTATGCTGTATGTGACTCTCACGCTTCATATTTATGTTTTTGGTGCAAACAGTCAGTGTGGACAGTGTAAATGTCCTCTATTTAATTGTGAACTAATATTGTTTATAGGGTGGAATCTCAGGCTATGGCTGGGTTGAATGTATACTTGTATGGCTACAGAGGATGACCATCTGTGAAAAGAATAGGACATGATGTACTGTATTTACAAGTGTTACACTTGGATTTGTACTTTTGCATTGTGTATTGGTGCATTTCTAACATTGTATTGAATGGGTCCAAAACTGTGACGGCATGTGTCATAAAAAACACAGTATTTAAAAAAAAAAAAATAAATAAATAAAAATAAAAAAAAAAAAATATATATATATATATATATATATATATATATATATATATATATATATATATATATGTGTGTGTGTGTGTGTGTGTGTGTGTGTGTGTGTGTGTGTGTTTGTGTGTGTATATGTATACCTTCACCGGGGACTTTATCACGTACACCTGTCCAACTGCTCATTAACGCAAATTTCTAATTATCCAATTACATGGCAGGAACTCAATGCATTTAGACATGTAGACATGGTCAAGACAGTCTGCTGCTTCAGAATGTGAAAGAAAGGTTACTTCGAACATGGTATTGTTGTTAGTGCCAAATAAGCTCGTCTGAGTACCTCAGAAACTACTGACTTAGTGAAATTTTTACACACAACTATCTCTATGGTTTACAGAGAATGGTCAGAAAAAGTGACAAATCCAGCGAGCAGCAGTTCTGTGGGCGCAAATTCCTTGTTGATATCAGAGGTCAGAGAAGAATGGCCAGACTGGTTCGAGCTGATAGAAAGGCAACAGTAACTCAAATAAGCACTCATTACAACCGAGATACTGTATGCAGAATCTCGATTTCTGCTGCGACATTCGGATGGTAGTGTTAGAATTTGGGTGCAACAACATGAAAGCATTGATCCATCCTGCCTTGTTGTAATAATGGTTCAAACTGCTGGTGGTGTAATAGTGTGGGGGATATTTTTTGGCACACTTTTTATGCCCATTTGTACCCATTGAGCATCGTGTCAATACCACAGCCTACCTGAGTATTGCCGCTAACCATATTCGTCGCTTTATGACCACAGTGTACCCATCTTCTGATGGCTACTTCCAGCAGAATAATGCGCAATGTCATAAAGTGTGAATCATCTCAGACTTGTTTCTTGAACATGACAATGAGTTTACTGTACTCAAATGGCCTCCACAGTCACCAGAACTCAATCCAATAGAACATCTTTGGGATGTGGTGAAACGGGAGATTCTCGTCATGGATGTGCAGCTGACAAATCTGCAGCAACTGCGTAATGCTATCATGTCAACATGGACCAAAATCTCTGAGGAATCTTTCCAGTACCTTGTTGAATCTTCGCCATAAAGAATTAAGGCTGTTCTGAAGGCAAAAGGTGCCCAACCTGGTACTAGTAAGGTGTACCTAATAAAGTGTCCGGTGAGTGTATATGTCTATAATTACCTGAGACCTTTGGCTCAATAAACCCCTAATTTGCTGCTTATTTATACTAAAGTTGGGTTTTGATGTTACCATCTATTAGTATTATAACAGATATTAAAAATAATAGAAATTTCAAATGTCCTTAGTCCTCAAAAATAAGTTATTATTTATGGTTTCAGGATCTTTAATATCCTTAAAACATTTTTATTTTAGATCTAAACCTTTCACTAAAGCTGTTTAGGGAACCAAAAAAAAAAAAAAAAAAAAAAAAAGATTCCTTCATCACTGTAAAACAAACAAACATTTTTGTTCTACCTGCACTTTTTTCTATTGTTTTCCCTGTAACTACAGTGTTGCCAAGAGCAAACTTGATAAATAATAACTTACAGATAGATGCTTGCTGTTCCCAAACAAACCTTTAAAATCAGCATTCCACCCATGTCTGACTTATATTGCAGTTTTTCTATCCATTATAAAGAGTGATGTTCTTCCAGGCGGCAGTAATGATGTAATCTAAATGCAACATCAAAACGAAGCATTTTTCCCCGTTGACGCCTGAAAACATATTTTATTTTTGATATTTAATTTTAATTTTCCTAAAATACTTTTTAGTGCAAACCTTAAAATGTATAATTAAACATGCAAAACACAGTTTTGCTAATTGTAAGTTACTGTGTGTGGAAAAAAAATAAACACTTGCACCTCAAGCTGGAGATGCTTGTTTCCTTGGTAACGGGGGTCTCGTTGAATTTCTCCATTGCACTTGAAGGCGCTTGTTCTGGTGCTCTCTATGGGTGATAGATGGAGACCATCTCTCATTGATTATTTTTATGAGGAAAAAAACATTTTCTCTGGTATAAATGAAAAGAAAACAAGAATATCGACAGTACGGCGTGTACATGATGATTATAATGAGCGCAGTATATAAAAACGCCACGGATTTATCAGTTTGTCATTTGTCTTCCACATAGACGAAATGGGTTATGCGTACTAAATTAACTTATAATGTGTCATATTTAAAGAAATTATAGATTTAAATGTGACCAACAGATTAATGTAAAAGCATTGATGACTAAATTAATAAATCAGCCTGTCCGCTTATTAGTTGTCTCCGCGCTCTGAGAAAATAATAGTTGTTGACGAACAAACATATACATGTATAAACGAAAAACCATCTGCTTAATCCATTTTTGAATATGCAAATTGCTATTTACACAAAACTAATACGCAACCGACTAGTCTCGTGTGACTTACACACATCAACGTTGTCCAATCAGTTCAATCACACGGTACTGTGATGGTCTGAGATTTTCCTCGCATTAACGCAAATGTTTTGAAGTCTATTCGACCGTGACAGCTCCGTGATATCAGGCGTAATCTGCGAGTGCGCGCGCATCAGTGCACGAGCACAGTTCTCAGCACCAAGGACAGCGTCTCTCACAGAGCATCAGGTCACCCTTGACAAAACCTTGACTACGATTCTATCAGGGCAAGAGCGAAAGAAGTGAACCACAACATTAACGCAAAACTGTTTTTCTTTTCCCACTCTCTCCGAAAAGAGAGTGCATGTGAGAGACGACTATCAACAGGAGCGAGCGTCATTTTCTCCAAAGGCGCGCTGGCATGGTCTTGTTGAATGTGAACGGGTGTGATGAGCGGGCTCAATGAGTGAAGCTCATTCCTCAGCGGAATAGACGGAGCTGATCGCATTCCGGTGCTGCTGGAGAGGAGGACGCGCTGCGAGCGGATCTGCCTCATCAACGGACACCGACACGCATCCTCCACGGGGCACTCGGCTCGACTTCTCTGCCATCCAGGGCAAAATGCGCCTGGTTCTGTTCGCCTTTCTCATCTCGTGCTCCTGCGCGAGAGGCGGATGCGAACCCAAGACTGTGAACATTGGAGCTGTTCTGAGCCAGAAGAGATATGAACAAGTGTTCAAAGACGCCGTCACCCAAGCCAACAATATCTACGGCAAAGATAAGTTCAAGATGAACGCGATTTCAGTCACCCATAAGCCAAACGCCATCCAGATGGCACTCTCCGTGTGCGAGGATCTCATCTCTAACCAGGTAAAACAGTCTGTTCAGGTCAGGAGCATACTGAATATAATAATAATAATAATAATAATAATAATAATAATAATAATAATAATAAATTAAATAGTTCAATAATATTAATAATTAAATTCAATAATATTAACTCAAATGTATCTTATAAAAAGTTTATATTTTATAAAACATCTATCTATCTATCTATCTATCTATCTATCTATCTATCTATCTATCTATCTATCTATCTATCTATCTATTTATCTATCAACAATATTACAACTAATGTTAGTCTAATATTAAAATATTTCTAATTATTTGCTTATAGGATGTAAAGTGCCAAGTCAAAGTAATTGTAATTTTTAAAAACATGTTCTTACAGAGCTAATATTTGTACATAGCTTATATCTGTCAATGTAGGCTATGTTTGTGGGCTATCTATCTTAATATATTATTTATTACTGCTACTGATTTGGGTGACTCTCGCAATATACATAGTTAAAATAATTATGTTGTATGTTAAATGTTTGAATACAGCTTTGTTTTTAATTGCTTTCTTTTTTAATGTTATTTAAAATCGTTGTATTATTATTTCGTCAACAAGTGTTTCTGGCAAACGCGGGGAAAAAAACACTTTCTGCTTTCCAATCCTCAAAAGTCAGAATCACAAACGTGGCTCACGGGCAGCCGTTTTTAGCCAGCCTTAGTTATTCTAATAACGAGTTATTCTGCAAGGTCAAACGCTGCGAATCTCGATTTGCACGGATGAAAACATGCAACAGGATCCAGGGGTCCATTTTGACCTTACCAGTGAGTGAGCATTCAGTGTACATTGGCGCGTTGGGAAGGCTGTGCGAGATGTTCTCAGAGGTTATGAACTGAGCCAGAAATAATTTAAGGTGCATTTGTGAGTCCGTGATTCATATGGCGTCTTGTAAATATAAATTACAGAATAATTACAGCGTTTAAGGTAACACTGGCCCCCTGCATGCAGCGCCATCGCATCCCCGCTGGCCCACCGCCTCTATTTTAATGAAAAACGTAAAACGAGGCCAACATGGCGCCAGCTTCGTATAACAGCTGGTTTGTTCGGGGAGAAAGCTCTAGTAGAATATGATGGGGCAGAGATTATTACAACACGGATTACTTTCCAAGTCACAGCAGACTAACAGATGCAATGCAGTTCGTGACATCCAACATGTAAACTCCAGATGTTGGATCAACACTTGACATTTTACTGTCAACTGACTCTTGCTTTGCTTTAGAAATGCGTCGACAACAAAAACAAGATACAAACTACACATTCATTTATTTATTTATTTATTTATGTTCCTTTCAGCTTAGTCCCTTTATTAATCTGGTGTTGCCACTTTGGAATGAACCACCAACTTATCCAGCACATGTTTTATGCAGCGGATGCCTTTCCACCCGCAACCACGTTCAAAAACGTTCAATTTAGCTTATTTAATTGACCTGTACCGGATGTCTTTGGACTCCACGCAGAAATGCCAACCTAGCCAAGATTCAAACCAGCAACTTTCTTACTGTGAGGCAATTGTGCTACCCACTGTGCCACCATACTGCCCAATTTGAATGTTTTACCATGTACAATTTACATAATAAAGTTTGGAAGTTTTGCTTTAAATAAAGTATAAAAATAATATATATATATATATATATATATATATATATATATATATATATATATATATATATATATATATATATATATATATGCATACAAACAAATCAAATTAATTATAAATACCAAACATGTTATCACCATTTGGTAGACTAGATTTTGATTGGTCAATCTCAACACTTTTTCATCACATAAGTGATACAGTAAAAAATGGTAGAACAATCTTTACTCTAATTTAAAATGTTTCATTCTGACACACAAATTAGATGTTCATTCATTCATTCATTTTCTTTCGGCTTAGTCCCTTTATTAATCTGGGGTCACCACAGCGGAATGAAATGCCAACTTATCCAGCATATGTTTTACGCAGTGGATGCCCTTCCAGCCATACACTTGCATTCACACACACGCCCAATTTAGCAAATTCAATTCACCTATACCACATGTCTTTGGACTTGTGGGGGAAGCCGGAGCACCCAGAGGAAACCCACATGAACACGGGGAGAACATGCAAACTCCATAAAGAAATGCCAACTGACCCAGCCAAGACTCGAACCAGCAACCTTCTTGCTGTGAGGCGATCGTGCTACCCACTGCGCCACTGTGACACCCCAAATTAGATGTTTTTCTTCTTAAAAACGTGCCAAGCAAACACAGAACGTTCCCTGTTTGGTTTCCCTTTGGTTGTTTTCTGAGATTTAATACGAATGCTTACTGTAGTTAAAGTTATCCTCTCAAAATGTTGTAGGGAGAATGTTTTAAAACAACTTAAAGAGAACAAACCTTGATGGATTGTTATTTATGTGAATTTTCCTCAATAACCAGCAGAAAAAAACATTCTAGGGACCAGAAATAACGCCTCCAAAATGTTCTAGGAAACAGAAATAGCTGAAGTAAATGCACATGAAATGACAGATGTGAAAATAACACCTCAGTGAATTC